GACATATATTTTAAGGGAAGGGACATGCACAGTAAGAAAACTGTATAAATGACATGATCTGTCAAAGGAGACCCACCCTCACTAGGTTTAGTAAAAGGAAGTCTCAAACAATAACTGATCCTTTGAGTACCCTTAGTCATGAGACTTGCTGTCAGTCTTGACAGTGTCTTCCTCTCTGATCTGTTCTATGGCTTCACTACGTTAGCAGAAGACTAAGCTCTTATTTTCAGTACTTTCAATAAGAGACCAGGAATATGGGAACACCCACCATCTCAGCAAAATGGGTAAGTTTTGTTTCTTTCAATTTTTTTTTTTTTTAATTTTTTTTTTTAACATTTTATTTTTATTTTATGTGTGTATTGCCTGCATGTAGGTAAGTGCACCCATGTCATGCAATGCTCATGGAGGACAGAAGAGGCTGTCAGAGTCCCTGGAACTGGAATTACAGACAGTTATTAGCTGCCATGTGGGTGTTGGGATTTGAACCTGGGTCTTCTGCAAGAACAGCTAGTGTTCTTAACCACAGAGCCATCTCTCCAGCCCCTCAATTTTTATTAGAAACAATCTTATGCAGACAAGGTTGGTCTCAAAAACAGACCTGGGGTGGAGAAAGGGCTCAGGGATTAAGAGCACTGGATGGTCTTTCAGAGGAATTCAGTTTTGATTCCCAGCACCCATATGGGGCTAACAGCCATCCACAACTCCAGTTCCATGGGATCAGATGCCCTCTTCTGACCTCTTCAGGCACTACATAACACAGGTACATGTACATACAACATGAAGGCAATATATTCATGCACATAAAACAAAAAATGATAAAATATTCTTAAAAAAATAGATATTCTTGCCAGGTGTGGTGGTGCACACCTTTAATCCCAGCACTTGGGAGGCAGAGGCAGGTGGATTGCTGTGAGTTTGAGGCCAGCCTGGTCTACATAGTGAGTTCTAGGCCAGCTGGGGCTACAAGGAGACCTTGTCTCAAAAAGCCCCTCCCCCAAAAAGAGAAAAACTGAGCATGACAAGAGAGGACACAGGCTCAGATCCCAGCACCCACAGCAGCTAACAACCTTCTGTTCCAGAGGATCAGAAGCCATCTTCAACCTCCATGGGCACTGCACAACACGGGTGCATTTACACACATACAGGTAATACACTCATACACATAAAACAAAAATAAAACTTTTTTTTTCTGGTCTTTTTGAGACAGGGTCTCCCTGTAGCCCCAGCTGTCCTGGAACTCACTATGTAGACTAGGCTGGCCTTGAACTCACAGAGATCCGCCTGCCTCTGCCTCCTGAGTGCTGGGATTAAAGGCGTGCGCCACCATGCCCAGCTTAAAAATAAAACATTTTTAAGAAAGGAAATAACTATCCTTTAATGGAGACACTAAGAAAACAAACAGAAAACCAGGTATGATGGTGCATGCCTTTAATCCCAGCACTCTATTAATGCTTGCAAAGACTTGGTATTGTCAAACCTCAAAAATCCCAGCAACTTCCTTCACATACACTGACAAACTGATTCTAAAGCTGACAATGGAGAGGGTATAGAGTGCGAACCACCCATGAAGCACAGTAGGTTAACCAAGCTGGAGGGCTGACACCCCCAGCAGGCAGATTTCTGTGAGTTTGAGGCCAGATTGGTCTACAGAGAGCATTCCAGGCCAGCTGGGGATACAGGGAGACACTGTCTCAAAAAGACAAATAAAAAAATAAAATAAAACCCAACAAAATTCAAGAACTATATTAGGCCCTCTGAGCAAGAGATGACATGATGTTTGTTTTATTTTGCAGCAGGGACGCATAGGAAATCGTTTACTCTGGAGCACCATGTGATTGTGGATATGCACACCCCTGTTCTTGTAATGATGCTCTTTAACCTGCACCTACTATGCACACACCCCCATCTCCAAACAATGCACCTAGCAACCTCAGAACCCCCGAACTCTCAGGTTCTTAGCGTTCTGTGCATCAGGTTATACATACAGGAACTCTCTGAAGTGTCGTTTAAGTGTCCCTGTTCCTAGTAACATCAAATTTAGATAATTCCTACTCACTTATAGTCCCAGCAGCTCTGGGTATGAATAGTAGTAGGACCAATCCAGCCTCATATGTTATTGGTTACCGCCTCACCTTCCTCACGTAGCAAGCAGCACCGTGTGGATGCAAGGCAAGCTGTCTTCCCCCTGAGCTACAGCTACGGCTGCCTGTGCCTACATCTCCAGATCTGACGCCCTGCTGACCTCCGCAGGGCCGCGGCCTGGCAAGGCGGGTTCCCGGGGCTGCAGGGCGCCGGGACCAACCACCTTCCCGAGCCCCGCTCCGACCGCCCCGGCCCCGAGGCCGCAGACCAGGGCCGAGAGTCCTGCAGCCCCGCCGCGGCCGCTCCACAACCCCCCTTGCGCCCTCCCGAGCCCAGGACTCCTGCGGACAGCGCTGCAACCGGGGCCCGGGACAAAACGCCCGGGGCTCCCGGAGCGGCGGGGAATGGACTCGGCCTCCTCCCGTCGGGACCCGCTCACCATCTCCTGATTCCCGGACATCCCGTCCTCACTGCGCTCCTCCCGTAGCAGAGTCGGAGGGCGCAGACACCACGCAGACATTCACGGCTCCGGAACCACAGAGAACGCAGGACGGGAAAACGGCCAAAGATGGCTGGAGACAGAGCCCGCCCCCCGCACTCCGTCAGCCTGATTGGACAGAGCTGACGCCCCACCGCTTCAATTACCACTTCAGGGTCAGGCCCTGAGATCCTGATTGACAGGAGAAACCACCAACCAATGGGAGAATAGAGAAGTTCAGCCTCCAGGCGTGAAGGCTCAGTGGGTAAAGGCCAGGTGGAGAACCCACATACCTATGCTGCAAGTTGTCCTCTGACATCCTCCGTCAGGCCATGGCACGTTCAACACAAACACACACACGCACACACATGCACACAGTGAATAAATCAGTGTAAAAGAAAAAAGGCAAGTTCTTCCCTTCCCGGCACTTTAAGGAAGGATTTCCACACTTTGCCTTCTGCATGTACTGTGGAAGTAAAGCTTACCAGATACTAAAAGATTTTACAATGTGATGGTAATTAAGAATTCTGGGGATGGGGAGGCGAACAGGAATCTTCCCCTGCCCCCTATGGTTATCCAGGATTGAAGTCTTTGTTTTCCAAAACTATCACATTTCTGTGTAAAAATCTTTGTTGCTAAGGCTTTTGCATTCCTGTAACCCCTGCATTTCTATTACCTTTGCGGCCCTCGGTTATCTTACTTAATTACCATGTATATGCTATGTACCTTTTGAGTATAAAAACCCTCCAAAACTTTAACAGGGGATTTGAGTCCTTTGATTCCTGGTGTCAGTCCCATTATTATCAAATTAAACTTCCTCTCCTCACCTGTCTTCGGCTGTTGGTCTCTGATTTTTCCATAGCACATGTCCACTGCATCACCTTAAACATTATTCATAAATATATATGGTATTCAAAGTGGAAATAAGCCAGTCATAGTGATGCATGTCTTTAATCCCAGCAGTCAGGAGGCAGGTGAAAGTCTAAGAGTTCCATGTCAGCCAGACCTACATAGTGACAACCCCCCCAAAAAAAAAATAAAAACTAAATGAATGTAGCAAAACAAAGAAGTGGAAATAATATCAAACCTTTCTCTTAACATACTCTGTTTAGTTTTCTAACAGCACTATGTGAGTACTTCTTGACATGTATGTCCTCACTATGGTTTTCCCAGCAACAGCAAGTCACCCTAAGAGAACACAAGCTAATAATCTGAGGCTCCTGAGACAACAAGGATTGTGGGGCCAGAGACAAAGATGGAAGAAAGATGGCACTGGAGATTGTAAAATCCAGCCCCCTGCTCTGTGTTAGCCTGATCAGATAATCCTACACCAGTGCCTCCAATGGATCAGAAATTCAGGTCCATCTCTCAGAACTTGAGTGACAGAAGATGGCAACAACTCATGGAAATTGAAGTAAGAGTGACAAGCCAGGGCTTTGAAGATGGATCAGTGGATAGAGGTGCTTGCCACCAAGGCAACAACCTGAATTTGATCACCAGATCACAGATGTTGGAAGGAGAAAAATGATTTCCCCAAGTTGTCCTATGACCTCCATGAGTTGTATGCACACCCAGGAACACAAACATAAATAAATAAACATTTTTAAGCTGTTGAATATTTTCACTTAACTTTGTAACTATGGAGGCAAGGTATAAATACATATCTCATTCAAAGTGAACATATCAATATCAGAGGAATGTGAAATTTCCAGCTCCACTATTTTGACTGGGTAGCCTGAGCTGTGAAGTAGGAATTTTTAAAGTGGGAGGAAACTGTATCATTTTTTGGTTTATTTTTCAAGAACAAGTCTTAAGTAGTTCAAGATGGTATCAAATTTGGTGCTGTGTAGCACAGGCTGCCTTGGAAAATCTGATCCTCCTGACCTCAGCTCTCAGGTCTTGGGATTATAGGTATATACCCAAAATACTGACTGGAAATTTTTTTAAGTTAAAATTTTGATTAGGGACTTGAGAGATGGCTTAGCACTGAAGAGCAGATACTGCTCTCTCAGAAGAAAGGATCTCATTATTCACAGAGTCAAAGAGATTTGGAGACAAGTGCAGTGATCCTCACAGACAGGGCTAACAAAATGCACACAAAGACAAATAGCCCACAGTTAGGGTTCAGGGCCAGTTTCTGGAAGGCAGGTTCATTTTCTCTACTCCCCCATTTCCCCTCCACCCTCTAAAACAATTCAGAAGGACATGGGCTGGGGTGTCCTGTAATGCAGCCTCCCCCTGTTCTCTCTGGACAGAGACCTGAAGGACTGGTCTGTCCTGAATTTCCCAGGCTGGCCTCAAACTTGTAGCAATCCTCTTGCTACAGATGAGATATTTATAAGCAGGAGTCACAGAGTCTGGTTATCTGTACCTTTTTGTCTCTCCATCTCTTTCTGTGTTTTGTAGCCTCTATTTGAAAACTTGACTTAAGGAGTAGTTGTACACAGAGGTCTCACCATTTCCTACTTCCTGTCTCTCTCAGGGTCCCTCTCAGTGCTAAGGTAAAGCCTTGATCTATGTTAGAATCTCACTCCCACACCAGGCAATGTGGTAAAGTGCTGTACCTGGGACCCTTTGGAGTTGGGTTTCACTGTTTGCCTGAGGCAACAAGTCGCTGGTTCAGGCTTCAAGCAATGTGTGAGGATCTGACTGCTAGAGCATGAGGGAATTTAAAAGAAATATTTTTACACTCATTTTCTGTATGTGCATATGTGTGAAACAACACATTCCAAATGCACTTGTGGAGGTCAGAGGACAACTCTGTGGGAGTCAGTTTTCTCCCACCACCATGTGGGTGCTGGGGACCAAAATCAGGTCATAGAGCTTGACCACCTGAGCATGGGAATTATGTTTTTTTAGTTTTGGACTGTAATGTTTGGACTTCTGTTGTTCTTGTCTGTTTTTGCTGCTGCTGCTGCTGCTGTTCAGACAGAGTCTCACTGGCTATCACTAACTGGCCTGGAATTTTCTATGAAGAACAGGCTGACTTTAAACTTACAGATCAATTTGTCTCAGCTTCCCAAGTGCTAAGATTAAAAGTATCCCCCACTGTGCTCTAAAGTTTGGCTTTTTAGTATCTGCAAATCATAAAGTCATTGAGATGCAGGATAAGACCACCTTTTTTCTGAAAATGCTTTGGGGCTGTGATGGGGTGTCATGAGTGTCCTCTAGACATTCCTGATTGACATAGGGTATTGGACCAAAAGGCATAAATGGCTTGATCTTCATTTTGGAGTGGGTATAGATTAAGTACCACAGTAGCAGTACAGACTGTGAAGTCACTAGACATCAAGAGGTTCTCACTGGTGGGAGTCCACACTTGGCAAAAGGTTGTTCTTGAAATTTCTGAGACTACACTGATCTGGAGCTTAATAGAGCTATAATCCAAGACATTCATCAAGTACAGAAGGTTAACTAAGAAGTGACTGAAAACACAGCAGAATTTTATTTTAATTTTATATAGTATTATATGCATGTAGATAGGTGTACCCATGTTATGCAATGCGCACAGAGGCCAGTAGAGGGTGTCAGATCCCATGAAACTGGAGTTACAGGTGGTTGTTTGCCAACCCAGGTCCTCTGTAAGAGCAGCCAGTGTTCTTGACTGGTGAGCCATTTCTCCAGCCCCAAGAATTAAAAAGAGGAAAGAGGTGCTAGGAGTAAAGGATCAGCAAAAGTCAGTGCTTAAATGTGGAACTATTGGGTGATTTGAGGACAACAATGAGATGTACGATAATTATGGTCCTGATGAGAGCAAGCCCACACTGAGCTTATTGGTATCACAGTTGTGTTGTATACATGGGACAAGGTGGGAGTCAGTATTAGAGATAGTGATTATCCACTGGTGTCTAGAAGTATCTGTGTGGATTTTATCTGGGTTACACTGGAAGAGTAGTTGGGAATTTCCAAGACACTCAGAGGAGAGGTCATATGGGCTTCTCAACTTTGGAGGCACCAGGCCACAGTGGCAGGCCTTATGGCTTGCCTGTAGTTGTAGACATGAAGACAACTTGAGAGCATCTGTTCCAGACAGCTTCATGAGTGTCCTCTGTCCCTGGGGAGGATTTTAAGATAGACCTATTGTCCTGGGTAAATGTGAAGAGATGATCCCAAAAGTAAATGAGGAGTGAGGTTGAGGTTGTCTTCTTTATTAGGGTTTCAAACAGCAGCAGCTCCCCACCGCCCAACAGGGACCCATGGACTTCGGATTTTTCCAGCCTGAAAAAGGGAACTGAGTTGAAAAGCACCTTGGTCTTTGAAGTCAAGGGAAGCAGATTCTTCTAAGAGGCATCCTGCCTTTCCTCTGATCTCCGAAGACAAGATAAGCAGAACCTGCCTGTTAACCAGAGATTTTAGGAGCTGTTTTAGTACAGCAGCTTTTCCCTTGTAAGAGGACAAAAAAAAAACAAAATGCCTGTTAAAGAGATTTTAGGAGCTGTTTTAGTACAGCAGCTTTTCCCTTGTCTTAGGAGGACAAAAAAGTAAACACTTCCTGACCCAGATCCTGGCTGGCAGACTGAATGGAGCCAGGTTTACAAGCCCTGCTTTTCCTGCTTCCCCCCTTTTTCCAAAAAACTTCCCCCCTTCTGCACCCTGAAGCCCCCGTATATAAGCCCAGCTCACAACCCATGGGCTGATGGCTTCGATGACCAGGACAGAGACAGAAGGCACAACTTCAACCTGAGCCTGTCTGTTCTGAATAGTTTCACTGTAATCCTCAGACCTTTCTAATCGCTGGTTGCCTTAGCAACGTCATCACCAACTGTTTTAGGAGAAAGACTCAGGGGTCCAATCACAGGGGCCAAGGCGGATGTGAAACTGACCTTGCCTCCACTACACATCAGTATATGAGTTTCATCTCATTGGGATTGAACTTAGGCAGCATGATGGAGGTACTGGTGTCGGAGGAACTCACATTCAGGACGATGGAAGAAAGTTGACCTTAGCCTCCTCTGATGTGAATCCGAAAGCATCATGCACTTATTATGCCATAGCTGGAGAAGCAGAGACAGGCAGAGCTTGTGGCTTTCTGCCATCCAGCCTCATTTGCAAGGTGGAGGATGCTTTTAAAGCTGAACTTGTTATTGGTAACACCCCTTCCTTCTCTCTGTTGGATAGCTGTCTTGGAATTCACTATGTAGCCAGGCTGGCCTTGATCTCACAGACATCTGCCTGCCTCTCCCTCCCCAGTGCTGGGATTAAATGTGACCACCACCACACCTGGTTTTGGTTAATTTTTTATTTTTATTTTTCATTTTATGTGTATGAGTGTATTGCCTACATGTGTGTTAGTGCACCCGTGTCATGCAATGCCCACAGAGGCCAGAAGAGGCCGTCAGATCCCCTGGGACTGGAGTTTCAGACAGTTGTTAGCTGCCATGTGGGTGCTGGGATTCAAATTCAGGTCTTCTGCAAGAACAACCAGTGTTCTTAACCACTGAGCCATCTCTCCAGTCCTCCAAATATTTTTATCCTCTAAATTAAATTACATGGTGATGGAATTGCTTATATAATGAGTAAATCTAACTCTCCCATACATTTAAAATAAACACTTTCTTGAATTTCTTAACAGTCTATGAATCAAAACGATTTATGACTAAGCTTACATGTTTACTTGTAGTCCAGTGTGAATAAAAACCATCCGGAAACCAGGCATGGTGGTGATGTACATGTCTGATGTCTCTGTCTACCTGAGAGTTTAGAAGCCTAAAATTTTTATTGCCCATGTCTAGGGTGGTGGACCCAAGGCAGGGAAACCTGCAATGCCTGTTTCCACAAGACGGAGAACAAGAATGGCATCAGGACTGCTCTTGGCCCTTGAGAGACCTGGGTTAAGGCAAAAGTGTTCCTGCCCTTCCTCTCCCCTACAGAGATAAATCTGGGGGAGAATATGGACTAGTATGCACAGGTCTCCATGGTGAGAATCCCATTTTAAGTGTTCTGCAGTCAGGGATTGAAAGAAAAGCTTGGTTTCCTGAGAATTTGTGGGGCTATATGCTGCTCTAATATTGTCCCCTCTGAAGAGAGTAACTTTAAAGTTTTAGAGATTAGACAAGAGTTCTCAAGTATTTTTGGCATTTCTGGGCTTTGAAACAGACCGGGCTGCTAAGAGACCCAATAGACTGATTTTTCCCACGGAGTGATCATGTTTGGTGGTTTTGCTGTGAGCTTTCATTCACCCATGACACAGCTCTGGGGACTGAACTTGTCGTCATTCTCTTTTCTTTTTTCTTTCTTTCTTTTTTGAGACAGGGTCTCCCTGTAGTCCCAGCTGTTCTGGAACTCACTATGCAGACCAGGCCGGCCTGGAACTCACAGACGCCCGCCTGCCTCTGGCTCCCCAGTGCAGGGATTAAAGGCACGCGCCACAACGCCCAGCTGTCATTCGCTTTTCATTCTCTCATCCTGTGATGTCATCTCCTGAGCGCCTGAGTCACTGTCCAGTAGGAGGCAGGGCTGTGAGGAATGTGGAAAGAGGCACAGAGACCCTGAGTACAGAGCTGGCCTTGTCTACAAACCTCCTCAGTCTTACAAGCAGGTTGGGGGTCTGTGGCTAGGTTTCTTCCCTGCCCAGTATGTGAATAACATCGGTTTACCCGGAACTCAAACCTGATGCAGCCACGAGCTCAAGGCTTAGTGAAAAATCACAGGCGTCGGGATTTTCACAATCGGAGGAAGAACTTCCTGGTGTTTTACTCCCACGGGATTTCCTGCCAGCTACTGTCAGTCACGAAGTCAGGCCGAAGCTCCATCCAATCAGCGTTACCGTTGGAAAAGCGTCCAATCAGGCTGACGAGCGCGGGGGTGGGGGCGGGCTCTGTCTCCAGCCATCTTTGGCCGTTTTCCCGTCCTGCGTTCTCTGTGGTTCCGGAGCCGTGAATGTCTGCGTGTTGTCTGCGCCCTCCGACTCTGCTGCGGGAGGAGCGCAGTGAGGACGGGATGTCCGGGAATCAGGAGATGGTGAGCGGGTCCTGACCGAAGGAGGCCGAGTCCACTCCCCGCCGCTCCGGGAGCCCTGGATGTCCTGTCCCGGCCCTGCTCGGGGCCTCGAGCCCCGGTTGCAGCGCTGTCCGCAGGAGTCCTGGGCTCGGGAGGGCGCAAGTGGGGTTGTGGAGCGGTCGCGGCGGGGCGCGGGGTTCTCGGCCCTGGTCTGTGATAGGTAGAGAATGGGCGGGAGCGAGCGTGCGGCGTGGATGGAGGAAGGCACGAGCGGATGGATGAGGCACCGAGGTTCAGATGGAATTCTCAACGGGACACAGATTTATTTCGCCCGGGGCACCTTTCCCTCGGGAAGGGAAAGATGTCCACGAAGGGAAAGAGGGAAAGGAAGGGAAAGATGTCAGCCCACAGGCTGTGAGCTGGGACTTTACATGGAATTCTCAGTGGGACACAGATTTATTTCGCACGGGGCACCTTTCCCTCGAGAAGGGAAAGATGTCCACGAAGGGAAAGATGGAAGGGAAGGGAAGGGAGAAGGGGGAAGGGGGAAGGGGGAAGGGAAGGGAGTCAGGGAAAGATGTTCAGGAAAGCCGCCCATGGATTGTGAGCTGGGACTTTACATATGGGGACTTTAGGGTGTGGAAGGGGGAATGTTTGGGGGGAGAAATCAGGGAGGGGGAAGCAGGAAAGCCTGGCAGGTGGGATTAGGGTGTGGAAGTGTTTACTTTTTCCTCTTAAGATAAGAGGAACTCTGCTTATCTTATCTTTGGAGGTCAGAGGAAAGGCAGGCTGCTTCTCAGCAGAGTTTGTTCTTCTTGACCTCAAAGGTCAAGGTGCTTATCAGCTAAGTTCCCTTTTCCAGGCTCCAAAGTCTGTAGGTCCCTGTTGGGGAGAGGTGGGGCTGCTATTTGGAACCCTAACAGTCTGCGGCCTCCGGGCGGGGGCGGCCGGAGCGGGGCTCAGGAAGGTGGTTGGTCCCGGCGCCCTGCAGCCCAGGGAACCCGCCTCGCCTGGCCGGGGCTCTGCGGAGGTCAGAGCAGGGCGTCAGATCTGGGGGTGTAGGTACAGGCGGTCGTAGCTGTAGCTCAGGGGGAAGACAGCTTGCCTTGCATCCACACGGTGCTGCTTGCTACGTGAGGAAGGTGAGGCGGCACCTGTGCAATTCCAGCGCTTGGGAGGTGGAGGTAAGGAGAGAGCATCAATGTCATGCCCAGTACATACCATTTTTTTCTTTTTAAAGTTTTCTTTTATGTATCTGAGTGTTTGGCGTGGATGTGTTTAAGTGCACCCATGTTGTGCAGTGCCCAGAGGTCAGAAGAGGCCATCAGATCCTGTGGAACTGGAGTAACAGTGTTGCTAGGCACATAGGGGTGTTTGATCTCAAAGAAATCTTGCTGTCTCTGAATCCCAAGTGCTGGGATTAATGGTGTCAGTATATATTTAATCATGTTTTCTTTCTTTTTTTTTTTCTTATTTTTTGGTCTTTTTGAGACAGGGTCTCTCTGTAGTCCCAGCTGTCCTGGAACTCACTATGTAGACCAAGCTGGCCTTGAACTCACAGAGCTCTGTCTGCCTCTTCCTCCCGAGTGTTGGGACTAAAGGCGTGTGCCACCACGCTGGGCTTAATCATGTTTTCTTAACTCTGTATATTATATAACAGATGTAAGATATTTATATTGATTTTTCTTTCTCCCCTTGGTCAAATCCAGCATGACACTCTGACTGGTTAGATACCTACAAAAGGAACAGTGAAGTACCATTTTCTTTCCCAGTGCTGATAGCCTGGTTGAAGAGAATTGTGTCATTACAGGGTTCTGTGTCATTTGAGGATGTAGCTGTGGGCTTCACCCAGGATGAGTGGCAGTTTCTAGACAGTGCGCAGAGGAGCCTCTACAGGGATGTGATGCTGGAGAACTACGGCAGCCTGCTGTTCTTGGGTGAGTTACCTCTTCTGTAACTCTAAGACAGATCACATTCTGGGTTGATGAGTATAGGAACTGATTCTAACCTTTTTTTTTTTTTTTTTTTGGTCTTTTTGAGACAGGGTCTGCCTGTAGCCCCAGCTGTCCTGGAACTCACTATGTAGACCAGGCTGGCCTTGAACTCACAGAGATCCACCTGCCTCTGCCTCCCGGGTGCTGGGATTAAAGGCGTGCGCCACCATGCCCAGCTTGCTTCTAACTTTTAACACTGGCTGTATTAAACATTTTCATCAGACACATGGTAAGAGCACATGTCTGTGTAAGCAGTGGCTTTGCAGTACACCTCTGTGTAATGATCAGGTGAAGGTAACCAGTAAGTCTCAGGCAGTACTTGTTTGTATTGGGAGCATTTCAGATGTGATACTGATATGGAAATATTCAGTTGCTTGCTGTCAACCATATATTCACTACTGTTCTATGATCCTATGAAGTTCCTCCTCACTTCTGTATGCATCTCACTAAACACTACCTATCTTTCCCCCACCCTTTTTCTCCTGTACCTTTGCCATAATTTAATCACTACTGTTTTCTGTTTGTTTGAGGTCAACTATGACCTACAAATAGGATAAGAACATGCAGGATGATTCTTTCTATGCATGATATATATCACTTACCGTATTACTTAACTTTTCTGCTTCTGTGATATACCTCGTAAAAAGTGGCTTACAGGAGAATAGGATTCATTTTGGTTTACAGTTCCAGAGGAAGAGAGCTTATCATAGTGTGGAATAAATTGCATTAGGAGCGAGAGGCCAGCCTGGCCTTCAAGAAGCAGAGAGATCACATGTCATCACAGAAAGCAAAGGTAGAAATTAAGAGCAACCAGGGTATAAATGTCAAAGCCCAGCCTTCTTTCTACTTTCCTACACCTCCTAAAGTTTCATGAACCTTCCCAAACACTGCCACCAACTAGTGACCTAGTGTCGAGATACATGTGCTTATGTAGGCTATTTCTCATCCAAACCACCACACAGCTGCCCTTGACTTTCATGGGCCGTTGTAGAAGAAACGTGTTCACAGGTGTGCAGGAAATAGACAGCCCAGAGATAGGTTCCTTCAATTCCAGGTTGGTGAATTGCTGAGTTTAGGAAGAAACATAGTATAGAAAGCTGATTTCCAGACAGCTCTTATCAGCAAAAATTCCAGCCCTTGTTATTTTTACTGATTTCTTCCCCTTTTGGATAGAAAAACAGGCAGCCTTAGATGAAATCTTAGTTGGGTGCATGATAATCCTGTGAAGGATTTTAACAGCCCCATTCCCATCATTATCAACTTGATATCTGCTGTTTCTCTCTGTGTATAGCAGTCAGTCACTGTTGGCCAGTTTTGGCTGCTCAGATAGAACCCCAGGAAGTAGCTGCACTACAACTACTGCAGCTACACAGTGCACTGCAGGTTTGTCCTTGTCACTGTGGCAGGGTTTTCAGGGTTTTCTCTCATTTTAATGAGTTGCATTTGTCTTTCTTTTCTTTTTTTGGTAGTTGTTGGGGTTTGGTTTTTTTTCTATTATTTTTTGATCCTTTTTTGAAAAAAGGTCTCCATGTAGTCAGAGCTAGCCTGGAACACTCTATGGAGACCAAACTGGTATGGATCTCTATCTCCCACCTCTTCTTCTCCAGTGCTGGCTATAAAGGCATTTGCCACCACATCCAGCTGAGAAGCATTTATCTTTAACCGCCATATATATTTACCTATATTTATGTTAATGAACACATGCCTTTTATATCATGTATACAAAGGTTTTCCCAGTGTGTTAATTACTTCTAGTTGCTGTGATAAAACCATGACCAAAAGCAACTTGTAGGTGAATGTGTTTATTTTGGTTTAAAGTTCCTGATGTATAAGAGTCCAACATAAGGGGCTGGAGAAATGGCTCAGCAGTTAAGAACACTGACTGTTCTTGCAGAAGACCCAGGTTTGAATCCCGGCACCCACATGGCAGCTAACAACTGTCTGTTAACTCCAAGGGATCCCCAACAGCCTCTTCTGTCCTCTGAGGGTATTGCACAACACGGGTGCACTTACCTACATGCAGGCAAAACATGCATACATATAAAATTAAAAAGTAATAATAATAAAAAAAGAGTCAAACATAGCAGGGAGGCATGACAGAAAGCAGCAGACATGGCGGTATGAGAAGCAAGCTTAGAGATGAGAGTCAGTTAGGCAAGGTTGTGAACACTCAAAACCCATCCCCAGTGACATTCTTCCTCCAGCAAGGCTCCAAATGTTACCCATTGCTCAAACAGTGACTTATGACTTAAGTGTTCAAATTTGTTAGCCTAGGAGGAGCATTTCTTTTTTTTTTTTTTATCTTTTTGAAACTGGTCTCCCTATAGCCCCAGCTGGCTTGAAACACACTATGTTGACCAGGCTGGCCTTGAACTCACAGAGATCTAGCTGCCTCTGCCTCTGGAGTGCCAGGATTAAATGTTTGTACCACCATTCCTAGTGGGAAACATTTAAACCACAACATCCTGCATGTATGTATATGTACCACATACATGCAGTCCTCAGGCCAGAAGAGGGCATCACATCCCTTGGATCAGGAGTTACTTCAGTTGGAAGCTGCCATGTGGGTGTTGGGACCCAAACCCTGAGTCTTCTCTCCATCCTTGATGCACACTTATCTTTACTTGTATCTTGGTTTTTATCAGCAATCCTGTAGTGTGCAAGGAACTCCAGATTTCTATGCATAATTCTATTTCACCTGAACTTATTTTCCTTCAGTGGATACTGTTGTTACAATCTGGAGGTCTTGATCTGGTTCATTTTCTCTGCCAATTAAAGATTTAAAAGGCAGGAAAAATACAGTCTCAAGAGGTAGCAGACGTTATTAAAAAGTAAAGAAATACATTCTCGCATACAAGAAAGACTTTCCAAAAGGGGAGAGGATGTGGAAACCAAGAATTCAAAGCCTCTACAGGAGCCTGAGTCTTTTAGGTAGTGTTGGTGGTAAGGCTTAGGTCCCCTTCCACTAATTGTGTATTTGTCAACTTAAACAAAGAAGAGAGTGCTGATAGACTGTCAGGTCAAAGCTGAGATTATGTCCAGGACTGACCTTAATTAACTGATGTGGAGTGGTCAGCTGGAATAGAGGGCTCTGCCCTGCGGCGTGGAGAAAAAGCCTTGAGAACTTTGTTTCAGGTAGAAGAATCAGGAAGATTCCCAGTCTTGTTATCAGTGGTCCTGTCTGCTTCTCAGGGATTTAGTGCCTTATTGGTATTATGTAGGACTTCTACGTATAGTATTTAGAAGAAGAATTGTACTGGGGTTTTTTTGTTGGGTTCTTTTTTTTTTTTTTTTGGTCTTTTTTGAGACATGGTCTCCCTATAGCCCCAGCTGTCCTGGAACTCACTATGTAGACCAGGCTGGCCTTGAACTCACAGAGATCTGCGTGCCTCTGCCTCCCTAGTGCTGGGATTAAAGGTGTATGCCACCACACTTGGCTCCTACTGTTTTTTTTTTTTTAATCTGTGCCCCTAATTGGCCTTGAATTTGTTATATGGACCAGGCTGGCCTCAAATTCACAGATCCAGTTATTACTGCACCACCTTACCTGGCCTCTGTTCTGTATTTATATTTGTGATAGTCATTTATATTATCTTTATTATTTTATGACACATTTCAGAATTTGTTTTTTTGTGTCTCAAATCATCATTCTAAATTCAGAGTAATTGGACACCTCACTCTTCAAACAAGCATAACATTTCATACCAGGTAGGAAGACATTACTATTAGGATTTCCCGATGGGCTGCCCACCCAGTCTTTCCTCTGGGTAGAGAATTCCACCTTGGTTGCATGTCAAGCAAGCACAGTATCCCATGCCATGTGGTGAAAGGAGGCCCGACCATCAGTACCTCACCCTCACCTTGTTCCACCCTCACACAGATGCAGCGTCACTTAGAAGTTCCAAGTGTTTGGAATGAGACTTTTCCTGGGGAAATGTAACACCTACCCATCTGCTCACCCTAGACATAGAACCCAGGTGAACCAAAGTAATGATCACAGGAAAGTCCAACCTAGTGAATAAATGATTACTTGCATAAGTATGGTTTAGGAGCATGGAGGACTCAAAAGCACCTACATTGAAAAGCCCACCACAGCATGGATGATGACTTGCATGCAGGCACACAGGTTAGAGAACCATCCCTTGCTTCTTGTCTGCTCAGTCTCCTCCTCTTCAACTTGCTGCTTCTATCACCTTCAGTAGGAATCCTGGTGAATGTCGTAAGTTTGAGTTTTTCCAGATAGATACAAAGTTTACTGTTTGTGTTCTGTTGGCATCTCTGCTCGTTCCTGAAGGAATGTTTCTACGGAACAAGAATACTACATTTATAGTTCGGTTGCTGTATCCATGTATAGCTCTGAAGTCATTGTGATACTGGTGTATACAGCTGTTCTTTTAGATGAGGCATCAGTCTTCACTTGAAGTATTTAGAATTCTGTTTGCTTAGAGTTTTGCAGTAGACTGTAATGTGACCCAGAATCATTTGTTTGGGAAATCTATTAGTGTTCCTGTGAGCATCTTGACTCTGTGTTTGTTTCTCTTGTGCCTTGTATTCTTCACTGAATAGGTCATTTGTCATCCTCTCTTTTCTTCTGAAACACCTATGAGGCAAATGTTTGCTTTTTCACTTGTGGTTTCCTCATCCTAAAAGGTATAGCCTTCCTTAATCTGCCTGGATTCATTAAAAAATTTTTTTCTATGCTCAGAATATGTCTTTTCTCAAACCTACTAGTTAAAATGTGATGTTTTATACTATTTTATGTTTTTTTTTTTTCATTAATGGAAGGCTTCCACTGTAAAAAAAAATTTTCTGGTGCTTTTTTTATGATTACTGACTCGTTTTCAAGTGTCCTAAATAGTATGTCTTTCTAATTTTATGGTACTTTCTCTTTTTTTTCAAATGTTCTTAAAATTATTACTTTGGTTATGGATCATGAAGCCTTATGCCACTCAAAGGTAATGTTCTAGTGAGGGAACAGCGTGTCTATCAACCTTCTCTAATGAAATATTCTGATCCAATGACTAAATCCAGGTTCCTGAATTAGAGCAGTTATCTTTCATCAGTGGACTTGATTTAGCACTCTGGCTTAATTTGCATTTTATTTCTTACAGGGCACTGCACAAACAAACCTGAATTGATCTTCAAGTTAGAAAATGGATTTGGCCCATGGAGTGTGGGAGAAGCCTCCATCCCAAGCCTCCCAGGTCAGTGAAGTCATCTTGAGCAAGGGAGGTCAGCAAGAAGCCAAGTCATCAGGTGTTGGTCATGTTGACGTCTTCCCACCAGTGTTTTTTCAGCCCAGGTTCATAGGAGAGCTGATGTGATGAATCAGACACATGATTTTTGCAGTTTCTGGAAACTTAGCCATGTCACCTTTTCTCCTTGAGGTTTTGACTAAATCATTGTTCCTTAGATTTGCCAAAAATTCAATTTCTGGGGAGATCTGAGACATTTTCTTTTTAGCTTTTTGAGATGGGATCTTTTGCAACACTGATGGTCTTATACTTCCCATAGAGCTGAGGCTGGTTCTGAACTCATGTTCTCCTGCCTGTATATCCCACATTCTGTAATTGAAGACATGGTCAACCACACCCAGATGGTGAGATAATTTCATTGGTCAGATAGTTTACCTAAATTCTCAGTGGCTCTTTCTTCTCTGTTTTATATTTATATCAGGCCTTTGTTGACCTGTTCTTCCAACAATGGGTCTCTGGTGACCTAATCAACCATTCTGTTCTAATTGTGATTTCAGAAGTACTCACACAAATGCATCTTTCCTTGATGTGATTCCACACTGTGAAAAGAAATTAAGCAAAGTCAGGTATGATGGTGAGATAATGGACAAAGATAAGATCGAGGATCAGAGGAAGAAAATAAATGCAGTTTTATTTTAGGAAAAACATGAAACTTAGTCACTATTAAGGAAGTAGTCCTGCTTTCTCTTGGGATGCCTTTTCCGCATTTTGGTGTATAATACACGGTTAGATACAATTCCAAATTGATAGTGACTGTGGTTAAAATGTAAATACAAATCTGGAAATTTGCACACCTCAGAGTATTAATATAGTTCTTGTTGCATCCACCTGCGGAATTTGTAAGAAAATGAGAAAGAGTATCATAATTTCCTTGTTAAGAAGGAAGATTAAAAGTTTTCTCCATGTTACCTCATTAATGGGTTAATTAAAGTGAATAAAGGAGATAATATAGTCCTAGGAGAGATGGGGGAAGATTATTGGAGATTAAGAAAGAGATGTCAGCCAGGAGTAGTGGTACACACCTTTAATACCAGCATTTTTATTTATGTTATTTTATTTTACTTTTTTATGCGTGTATTGCCTACAGGTAAGTGCACCCGTGTCATGCAGTGCCCGCAGAAGTCAGAAGAGACTGTCGTATCCCCTGGGACTGGAGTTATGGACAGTTGTTAGCCACCATGTGGGTGCTGGGATTCGAACTCAGGTCTTCTGCAAGAACAACCAATGTTCTTAACTGCTCAGCCACCTCTCCAGCCCCAGTACCAGCATTCTTTAAGCAGAGGCAGGGAGATCTCTGAGTTGGAGGTCAGCCTAGTTTACATAGTGAGTTCCTGGCCAGTGTGGGCTTTAGGGAGACTCTGTCTCAAAAAATGAATTAAAAAATACTTTTTAAAAATGCAAAAAAAAGGGAACAGTGTCAGGGGCCAGGCATAGTGGTATAGACCATTAATCCCAGCATTCCGGAGGGAGAGGCAGGCAGATCTCTATCAGATTGAGTCCAGCCTGGTCTGCCTAATGATCTCCAGATCAGCTTGGGTACAGGGAAACCCTATATTAAAAACAAAACAAAAATGAAAAAGTGGTTTCAGGACAGTGTATAAGTGGAAAAATCAAAAGACGATACAGAGGAAAAATAGTGTAGAGTCCAGGTTTGAGCAGAACTCAAAGGTTGTATGTTGGCTGTAAACACATAGAATCCAAAATGCCCTGAGGCCAATGAGCTGCCATTCATGACCACCCAAAATCCTTTGGTTTTTTTTTTGGGAGTTGCAACTGTGCAGTGTCTCCTGTCACCCAGGAAACCTGGCCTCAAACTCAACCTTGAATGTGTCTTCCTTTTGACTCTACTTCCTGATTGGTTGAATTTCAGGCATACTCCAATGTACTTTTGTTTGATGTAGTACTGTGGATCGAACTATTTCCATGCTTACACATCCCCCTCCCAACCTCCGGTTCTTTCCAGTGTTCAGTTGTGTACAGTCATTTCATCTTGGAAACTAGCTTTAAAAAACAAATTGATTTCACTTATCCACCTCTCATGCAGTGCAGTTTTCACACACCCTCTACTCCTTACACATGAATATCGGGAATGGTAAAAAAATGCCAGGAAGTTTTAGACACACTGACAGCAGTTCTGTTTGGAAGGTGGCCACTAGCCAGCCATGGAAACTGACAGGGTGAGATGGAGAATATTCGGAAGTTAGGAGGGCTTGGTGGTTATGCCTTATGTAAGGAAGAATAAGTCCTCTTCCTTGTGAATCAGAACAGAACATGGGAAGACTCAGACCTGAGTGAGCAGGTAGCTTATTCTCCATGGACTGACAGCTCTGAGGTCCTGTAGGAATCTACAGGTCTCTGGATTGTCACAGACTCCTCATCATCACTGTGTGGTTTATTATTTTCTGGTTTCTGAACACACTGAGACCCACAAGTAAAGTTATATTTCCCACTGGTCTGCCATAATCTGGCGCTTGGGGCTCACCCTTCCTATTGGACTTTGCCTTGTCTTGTCTCTGGAAAAAAATTGTGACCTCTATCTAGAAATCCACAAATTAAAATTCAGTATTTGCTCTTTTTTTTTTTTCTTTTTGAGACAGGGTCTCCCTGTAGCCCCAGCTGTCCTAGAACTCACTGTGTAGACCAGGCTGGCCTTGAACTCACAGAGATCCACCTGCCTCTGTCTCCCAAGTGCTGGGATTGAAGGTGTGCGCCACCACGTCCAGCCAGTATTTGCTCCTTTTATGCAAAGAAGCAATTTTCTTAACTTAATGCTGTCTGTTACTGCCAACTTACCTTAATGTGCCAGGAGTCAGCCAGCATAAATGATGAACTGTCAAGGTGAGGACAGAGGAATTACATCAGACTTTAACTATAGCCCAGTAACCCCCACATCCTTTTGACTATTAGAGGATAGATAAAATGTTTTTAGTATTTTTTGTTTCTGTTTTTATCCCATATATGCTTATTTTGTGTTTCCATTATATTCTCATCTCTTGTCCTTTCTTTTTGACCTATTCCTTTGATGTTTTTCTGTTATTTTTTAATTAATTTTGTGTGTATGCGTGTATTACCTGCGTGTAGGTAAGTGTGCCTGTGTCATGTAATGCCCGTGGAGGTCAGAAGAGGCTATCAGATCCCCTGAAACGAGTTACGGATAGTTGTTAGCTGCCATGTGGGTGCTGGGATTCGAACCTGGGTCTTCTACAAGAGCAATCAGTGTTCTTAACCACTGAGCCATCTCTCCAGCCCCTATTATTTATTTATTTATTTTTGGCCGTTTTGAGACAAGGTCTCCTTGTAGCCCCAGCTGTCCTGGAACTCACTATGTAGACCAGGCTGGCTTCGAACTCACAAAGATCCACCTGCCTCTGCCTCCCAATTGCTGGGATTAAAGGCATGTGCCACCATGCCCGGCTTTATTTTTTATTTTTTAAATTTCATTTTTTTTTTTCTTCATTACGTGTATGTGTGCCAGACATGATATGTTGGAGGGTGTCTTTCACCCTCTTTGTGGAAGCAAGTTGACAATTTATGGAGTTGGTTTTCTTCCACCGTTTTGTGGATTGTGAGGATCATACTTACATCATTAAGTTTGTGCTTTTTACCACTAAGCTCTCGAGTCTGCTCTATTCTTGTTACTTTTCCTTTTACCTAGTTTATGGGGCATTTCACACTGAGCTACACTGATTGAAACATAGATGAATGGGAATCCTTTCTCTGCCCTGTTTAGAAGAGAGTATATTCTTGGTGCTAACACCTTAAATATAACTGAAGAAAATTGTCCAATTTTACATGTCACATCGATGTCATGTTGAGTAAAATTTGTTTATTTCTTATAATTAATAAAAGGAACAAGGGAGAAGTAGGCTAAATGACAATATAAAAACAAACAACAGAAGCCGGGCGTGGTGGCACACACCTTTAATCCCAGCACTCAGGAGGCAGATGCAGGTGGATCTCTGTGAGTTCAAGGCCAGCCTGGTCTACATAGTGAGTTCCAGGACAGCTGGGGCTACGGGGAGTCCCTGTCTCAAAAAGACCAAAAAAAAAAAAGCCAGCTAAGATAATTTATCTCTACATGTTTCAATAGAGTAAAACAAGGCAAAAAAAAAAAGAGGCATGATTTCATTCCGCATCATATACTAGTGTTGTTATATTTCGTCATGAAAGTCTAAAATCCGTGCACTTACCATAAGTCAATTTATTTAAAAATTTGTATGATAATTAGTAACCACACATGTCTATTGCATATAAAAGATTTAAGTGTGATTCATGGAAAATATTTGTTAATAACATTATAGGTGTACACAAAGTAACCACCAAAATGAAAACCATCTTGAAAAATGACAGGAGTCATCTATGGCAAGTTGGAATCACCAACAGCAGGACATCAAGTGAAGAGATTGTTGACGTAAGCAATACTTTTTTTTTTTTTTTTTTTTTTTTTTTTTTTTTCAATATTTTTTTTTTTTTTTTTTTTTTTTTTGGTCTTTTTGAGATAGTATCTCCCTGTAGCCCCAGCTGTCCTGGAACTTACTATCGTAGACCAGGCTGGCCTCAAACTCACAGAGATCTGTCTGCCTCTGCTTCTCAAGTGCTGGGATTAAAGGCATGTGCCACCATGCCTGGCCAAGCATTACATTTAAAATGAGCTCTCAGTGTAGTTCAAAGGACTAGAAACACTTCTGGAATGTTTCCTCCAGAGTTTAACTGATAGCTGGAGAGTAAAGATGGGTTAATCAGGAAAAGTGGTTGACATGGAACAGTGAAGATGTGTTTGAGTTCACTGCTCCTGTGTATGGGACTAGCCATTTTAGCATGCAGCTTTACCCGACTAGTGGGAAGATGGAGAAGTGCTGATGAGGCATTCCATCCTTATTGGCAATCCTCAGGCTTAGTGAGATGTGGAGAGTTATGAAGAATATTGTACTTAACCAATACCAGAAAATACATGTCAAGAAAAGCCCCATAGCTCTAAGAAAAATAACCAATTATTCTATCTCCAGGCAGATCTAAAAATGCAACAGATAATTCAACAGAGAAAATCTTATAAAGGTACAAGATGTGTGAAGTCATCACACAGCAGTGATCAGATGTCTAACATACATAAGAAAGGTTTCAGTTATAAATTGGCTTTCAATCAATGTCAGAGGCTTCATAGAGAAGCGATACCCTCTGAGAAGAAAGAACACAGTAATTTCTTCTCCTTCAAGTCAAAAATCAGTGTATGTTGGAAACATCATACATCTGTGAAGCCCTATGAATATGAGCAGTGTGGAAAAGCCTTCTCCGTGAAGTATCATCTTGGTATGCATCAAAGAACTTACACGGAAAAGAAGCCCCATAAATGTGAGCAGTGTGGAAAAGCTTTCCCCTACAAGAATAGACTCATTTTGCATCAAAGAACTCATTCAGGAGAAAAGCCCTATGAATGTGAGCAGTGTGGAAAAGCTTTCTTCTACAAGGATAAACTCATTTTGCATCAAAGAACTCATTCAGGAGAAAAACCCTATGAATGTGAGCAGTGTGGAAAAGCCTTCTACGTGAAGTATCATCTTACTGTTCATCAAAGAACTCATACAGGGGAGAAGCTCCATAAATGTGAGCAGTGTGGAAAAGCTTTTTTCTACAAGAATAAACTCATTGTGCATCAAAGAACTCATACAGGGGAGAAGCCCTATGAATGTAAACAGTGTGGAAAAGTATACTCCCAAAAGTATTCTCTCTGGATGCATCAAAGAACTCATACAGGTGAGAAGCCCTATGAATGTGAGCAGTGTGGCAAAGCCTTCTCCATAAAGTGTAAGCTCACTGATCATCAAAGAACTCACACAGAGAAGAAGCCCTATGAATGTAAACAGTGTGGAAAAGCTTTTCTCTACAAGAATAAACTCACTGTGCATCAAAGCACTCATACAGGGGAGAAGCCCTATGAATGTAAACAGTGTGGAAAAGTATACTCCCAAAAGTCTTCTCTCTGGATGCACCAAAAATCTCATACAGGCGAGAAGCCCTATGATTGTGAACAATGTGGAAAAGCCTTCTGCACCAAGTCTCAACTCACTGTGCATCAAAGAACTCATACGGGGAAGAAGCCCCATAAATGTGAACAGTGTGAGAAAGCCTTCTTCAGGAAGTATGAGCTCACTGATCATCAAAGAACTCATACGGGGGAGAAGCTCCATAAATGTGAGCAGTGTGGAAAAGCTTTTCTCTACAAGAATAAACTCACTGTGCATCAAAGAACTCATACAGGGGAGAAGCCCTATGAATGTAAACAGTGTGGGAAAGCCTTCTGCACCAAGTCTCAACTCACTGTGCATCAAAGAACTCATACAGGGGAGCTCTATGAGTGTAAACAGTGTGGAAAAGCCTTCCCCGTGAAGTCTCAGCTCACTTATCATCAAAGAACTCATACAGGTGAGAAGCCCTATGAATGTGAGCAATGTGGAAAAGCCTTTTACTTCAAGTCTAGCCTCACTGTGCATCAAAGAACTCATATAGGTGAGAAGCCGTATGAATGTGAGCAATGTGGAAAAGCCTTCTTCTACAAGCATAAACTCAGTTTGCATCAAAGATCTCATTCAGGGGAGAAGCCGTATGAATGTAAGCAATGTGGAAAAGCTTTCTTCAGAAAGTATGAGGTCTCTGCGCATCAAAGAACTCATACAGGGGAGAAGCCCTATGAGTGTAAACAGTGTGGGAAAGCCTTCTGCTCCAAGTCTCAACTCGCTGTGCATCAAAGAACTCATAAAGGTTAGAAGCCCTATGAGTGTATGGTGATGCAAGGCTTTAAGCCTAGCAGGCAGATCTCTGTGCATTTTAGGCTAGCCTGATCTACATAGAAGTTCAGGGTTAAGGGTTACAGGCATGTAACCAGGCATGGTGGCCCACACCTTTAATCCCAGCACTTGGGAGGCAGAGGCAGGCAGATCTCTGAGTTCGAGGCCAGCCTGGTCTACATAGTTCCAGGACAGCTGGGGCTACAGGGAGACCCTGTCTCAAAAAGACAAAATATATATATATATATTGTCAGTGCTGGAGAGATGGCTCAGTGGTTAAGAGCACTAGCTGCTCTTGCAGAGGACCCAGATTGAATTCTCATCACCCTCCTCATGGCTAACAACCCTCTGTGACATTTCTAGGAGATCTGAAACCCTCTTCTGACCTCCGTGGACATCACATGATACAGGTGCACTTACATACATATAGGCAATACACTTACACATAAAATAATAATAAAAATAACAATATTTTTTAAAGCGAGTAATGTCTCAGTATAGCAGTGGTGGAATTTTTGTCTTTTTAGATTTGAGAGACTTCAAGTAGGATGAGAAGCTCCCTTCTCTTCCCACATCCCCTTACTTTTCCTTGTCTATCATGCTGATTTTTGCCCTCTGAGACATTTACCCATTTATCTTAATCGTGTGTGCCCAGAAGCATATATTCTAAAATTTCTTTACTGCTGAACAGGAATTTAGATTAGATGTTATGACAGACCAAGAGTACATAGTGAGATGATGTTTCCAAGGGGGGAGAAATAGGTGTAAAAGTGAGAGCTGGTCATGGGCCTCAGACCAACAATGAAGGCAGAATGCTGTGATGACAGGACAGCAGTAAGTAAGTCTGTTAATCTGACTATTGATCCAAGGAGACACAAGCATTCTGAAATAGCCTGTTCTGATACAGCGGGGCTCCTCCTTACACCCAGATACGACATAAATTCTAGAGGGCTCAGTCTTTGATGCTCTAGGTCGTTCTTCCCCAGTGTGAGGACCTCAAGGTTCTGGTTTCCATCACTAAACACTGCTTCATTTCCTTGCTCCAGACACCCTTTCCCCTCCCAAATTTCCATGCTTTACCATTGAGTTTTCTCCCCAGTCCTTTGGAAATTTCACTTCCCATCACAACAGGAGTGATCTTCCATGCACACAAGTCTCTGCCAGTCACTGTGTTTTGACTGCCTTCAAGATCCTCCTAGGCCTCTGAAGATGCACTCAAGCAGAATGCACAAAACTGCACTGCACTCTAGACCTAAAAAGTGGGCTCCACTGTTCCTGAAATACCCCCATAGTTACTTCCCTGTTACTCAAGTGCCATTTCTCCTCACATTTTGTCTTATTTTAAGGGAAGCACAGTCAATAATTCAGCAATGTGTATACTGGGAGATTCCTTGTCTCCCGTCCATGATGTCAAATAACTGCAGAGGAATGACCTGCTTTTTATTCTCAGCCTCTCTGTTCTCCTCTCTGTTGCTTTCACCACTCATTCTTCCCTTCCTCTGTTTGTGTGATGCTGTGGCTGAATCCAGACCCTTGTACATGCCAGGGAAGATCTCTATTACATAGCCACCTCCATAGTATCTTGAGGCAGGCTGTTAGTGACTTTCGGGTGACAGGTGTGCACTACCATTTTCAGCAGGTTTTTCTTTTTTTTTTTTTTTTTTTTCTGTTTTTTTGAGGCAGGGTCTCCCTATAGCCCCAGCTGTCCTGGAAAGCACAGAGATCTGCCTGCCTCTGCCTCTGGAGTGCTGGGGTTAAAGGCATGCACTACTGCTCCTGGCTAGTTTTTTTGTTTTTTTTTTTCCTCACCCACTGTCCCTCTTAGGCAGAAAGATTCACCTGAAAGGATCTGTCTGCCCAGTTCTTACAGTACACATAGACACAGGCACATAACTGAAACTCTTACTGAACTGAGTTTGTGAGCACTCAGAAGGGAGCTCTGTCCTTGAGTTTAGGGTTTGGCAGTTCACTTGTGTTTCTCAATTACTGAACTTGGAATCTAAGACCAGTGGGAAAAGGGAGCATGCACCAGAGGCTTAGCATCTAGAATTCCATGTGGACCTACCTCCTAGAGATGTTCTTCAACCCCACAGTGACCACCACTGGCGGGGGGGGGGGGGGGGGCGCCATTATATAGTTCATGAACTGAGCAATAGACATAAAGAAGGAGCAAATATGACTTGAGACAACACTTTATGACTGCACAGTTACACAGAGGTAGACTCCATCGTAGTGGGGAAGGTCTGGCAACAAAAGCAGAAAAATGGCTGATCGTATTTCATGTTCACAGAGGAAACAAGCCAGGGAATAAAGTCTACCCACAGTAATTCACTTCCTCCAGCAAGTTTCTACCTCCTAAATATTCCCTAATTTCACCAAACAGTAGCAGTGCCACCAGCTGGGGAACAATGTTCAAGTACATGAGCCTATGAGAGAGACTCCATTCCAGCCACTACAGGGTATGTAGCTTTCAGTCCATAAATATTTACAGTTACATGTTCTCGATGAATGGGTCCTTCCCTCCTTTATCTCTTAGGATTAGTTTTGAAGTCTCTTCCCGTTTTCTTCATTAGCTGGTTTTCATCCTCTGATTTTCAGTACTGGGATATTTCTGCCAGGGAGGTATGTTTCTAAAAGCAGAAGATAGGTTGATCTTTTTTTTTTTTTTAATCCAGTCAATTAGTTTGTCTTTTAGTTGGTGAATTGAATACCTTTGCATTTAAGTTATTGGCAGAGGTATAACATTGGTAAAGTGTCATGTGCTGTTTAAGCTCACTCAGAAGCTGGCTCTGGAAGTAAGGTTATCAAATGCACTTGAGGCACAAGTATGTTACAGTGTCTTCTAAGACCCTGTGTCTGGGGATGGACTCATCCCTCCACCCCAGGCCAAGAGAAGGAGAAAGCTAAACAGAAGCAGAGTAAAGTTAAAATACTGTGTAATTGTGCACAGTAGGGAGGTAAATCGGTCCCAGAGCAAAAGACTCAGCTATTGCTATTTCATGATACAAAAATGCCTGTGGTGGGCATTCAAAGTATAGTCTCACACAGAAAACCTTCCTGGGACCCTCTTTTGCTCAGAGGCTTCAACTGACCAGTTTTGATTGTTGGGGCTTCCTTAGTTTATGCTGGATGGTGTGTCTGATTATATGTTGTATGATCTTTTTCTGTTTGTATCTTTTGTGCCTACTGGCTGTATTCTTAATAAACTCACATTTGAAACAGAAGGGATACTTACCATGACTCTTTGTGGTAAATAGGTGGTCTGCTATTCATTCTGGATTGTTTCTCTTTCCAGTTCTTTGAAACGCACCATCATTGTGTGTTAATGCTCTCCTTGCTCATATATTCCTGCCATGTAGTGCATTCTTTCCTGTATTTTAGTGAGGGTATCTTTCTTCTTCCTCTGTGTAAACTATTTAAGTATTCTGTTCAAGGCTGGCTTACTTGTCATGAATTGACTGAGATTGTGTTTGTACTGAAATGCTGTAGTATCAGTTTTAAGAGAAATCTTTGCTGGGTATAGCAGCTCTGATAGTTACTTTTGGGACTGGAAATATGTCATTCCATTTTTTCCTTATTTTTAACATTGCAGAACTAAGTATCTGATTTTGTTCTCATACTTCTCCATTATATGTTAGAATGTTTCATATAAAACTTAATGATTCCATGCCTTATATTTTTTGTGCTGTTTGTGACAAGATCTCTCTGTAGCCTCAACTGACCTGTATAGACCAGTCTGGACTTGATATCATAGAGATCTGCCTGCCTCTGTTGGCTTCTATTTTTGACAAACTGAATATTTCTGATATGATCATGTCCATTTGGGGTTCTAATCATGCCTTTTTTTTTTTTTTTCTAACTTCCTTAACCTTTGGAAACTTTACTGGTATCTATTGAATGCATCATCTGCAACTTATTTAATGTCATCCACCTATTGTACTCCAAGGAGTTCCATTTACCAGCTTCTGTCCTTCTTTCTTCAGGAATAACTCTATCAATTTATTACAGACATGAAAATATGTCGGGTGTGGTGGCACACACTTTTAATCTCAGCACTCGGGAGGCAGAGGCAGGCAGATCTCTGAGTTCAATGCCAGCCTGGTCTACATAGTGAGTTCCAGGCCAGCTAGGGCCTCAGGGAGACCCTGTCTCAAAAAAAGACAAAAAAAATTAAATATGAAAATACACTGTATAATATAAAGAATGCGTATTCATTAGTCATAGTGGGTTTTTTGTTTTTTTTTTTTTTTATCTTTTTGAGATGGTCTTCCTGTAGCCCCAGCTGTCCTGGAACTCACTATGTAGACCAGGCTGGCCTTGAACTCACAGCGATCTGCCTGCCTCTGCCTCCCAAGTGCTGGGATTAAAGGTGTGCACCACCACGCCCGGCTTAGTCATAGTTTTTTGAAAAAACATGGTGGGGAATATGTTTCTTCAATTCTTGGACACAGTGCTTACTGTGGTGAACTAATAGTCAATTGTATCTTGAAGCATCTATTCGTAATACTTGGGAGTCTACAGGGCCTCTCTTGGTAGAGAATCGAACTCTGACATATCATGCTAGGACTCAGTTGTTCTCTTCATGACCCCCTCAATACTGAACCTTTCATGATGCCAAAACAAGTACCATCTAGGAAAATTTTCCACATCACTTGCCAAGTTCTGCTGCCAGCATGATGTCTCCCGCCCCCCATACCACCACCACAGCTTTTGTGTACTAACCCTGAGGAAGACTTTCCTACACTATATTACCTCAATGATGCTGATATCTGGTAAATCACAGTTGATTTTTTTTTAGCCCCTGCTGACCTGCATCCATTGTCCTAGTAAAGCAAAGTTTTAATTTCCACAAATTCTTAATTCAAATGTATCACACAGATGATCCTCATACGATCTTTTCTTCTATCTGAAACCAGAAACCAGGCTTCCAGTATCTACATTTCTGTCAACATTCATCTTCCATAAGTCCCACAGAATAGCACAATAAACAGTAAAGTGCTTTTCTACCCCGAAGTTCCCAATGCATGAACAATCTTCCTCCAAAGCACAGTCAGGTCCACGAGGGAAATACCCTGCTCCTAGCATCCATTTCTGTCCTGGCTTAATTGCTTTTGCTGTGATAAAAATACTATGACTGGAAAAAACTTGGGAAGCAAAGGGTTTATTTCATTTTGCAATTCCAGGTAAGTATTCACAATGAGGGAAGACAGGGCAAGACCTGAACCAGCAGAAGGAGGAACCAGGAAGAAAACCTGTTTACTGTCTTGTTCCCATGATCATGTTCAGTTACTTTGTTTATAAAGTCTTGGCACACCTGCTAAGGTATGGTACTGTCCACAGTGTTTTAGACCCTCTCACTCAATTGGCAGTCCAGAAAACGGCCAACAGACATGCCCCCAGGCCAATCTGGTGGAGTCTCATAAAACAACCAGCACCCATAGATTGTAGTCCTCCATGTAGGCACCTTTGATTCCCGTTTAGTTTCAGTTGAAAGGTTTTGGCACCTTTTATATTATTGACTTCCATAATTTAAAAATATATTTAAAATATATTCCTTTTTTTCTTACATGATATTTTGCCACACTGCTCAAGCTATCCCTTAAAGCTTTGAGTCTCAGTTAACCTCCAACATTAGAGCACATACAGTCTAGGAGTGAAATCCTATGTTAATATACCCCATGAAATGGTTTCCAGTACTTGTTATCTCATCCATATGTTATATGTAAAGAAGTGGCCTTGATTGTCTTTCAAACTGGGTTTTCATTAATTTCACAGCTGTCCTCTCCAATTTGACATTTCAGAAGAGTAGTGATGGTACTTCATGGTAGAGAGCTTTCCTGTATTCTTCACATTAACAGTATTGCTCACCTACTTGCATACTGCTGTCAAGTGAAAGTATGACAAAGCTTTCCTAAACTTCATAATTTCATAGTGTTTGCCTGCTTGCCTTGTGTGTGTGGCAAGAACACTGCATTACAAAGTTGTCCAGCAATCTTTCACACTGGTGTTTCACACCTCTTAAGTATTCAACAGTGTTAAGTCAGGTCAAACATACAGGACAAAATTTTCCTACTTCCTTTACATTCATTAGTCACTGTCTGAATTTTTACATGTAATCTCATGGTGTAAACCATGATGGTGAGTGGGTTATGCCTTTCAGGAGAAAGACTTCCTGCAACAGGTTCATATGGATTCTCTCCTGGGCTCTTATTGGCGATGAGGTGTGGCTTGGAGAAAGCTTCCTTGCATAGTACACATGTATAAGGCTTCTTAATTGTATGCGTTCTGTTATGTTTAATGAGAGGTGACTGTGGGAGAAACCTTTTCTGAATTCAATGGATTCTAATCTATATGACTTATCTGATGTTGAGGGAGTTGAGACTTTCTATAATGGGTTTTTTTTTTTGCATCATTCACATTCATAGGACATGTCAACTGTATGAGTGCTTTGAGTCACCCTGAGTATAGACACTTGGTAGGCTTTTCCACATTGTTTATATTCATAGGCCTTCTTAACTGTGTGAGTTCTAAGTCACAGTGTTTTTAGACTTGTGGCAGAAGGATTTTCCACATCATACTCAATGGCAAAGTTTCTCAGTTGCTCCTCTCATGCTCATGGTTGTGTAGGTGCGTTTTCTCAGGGTTTACATTCATGTATAAATACTTTGATGCACAGTGATCTCAGACTCTGTTGAAGGCTTTCCTACATGTTGTACGTTCTTTTGGAGTCCTAAGCTATCCAAAGAGAGATCACATGCTGGCAAAAGCCTTGCCACTTTGTACGTTGATCAGGCTTCTCCCTCTAAGAGTTCTGTCAAGTGCCAAGATCAGACATCAAGCAGAAATTTTTTGGGTTTTGGGTTTTTTGTTTGTTTCTTTTACACAGTTTACACTTCTGGGGCTTCTGATCTGTATGAGTTCCTTTATGCATGCTGAGCTCAGACTTGCTGTAGAAGGAATTCATACAACCTGTACATCTTTGTGGTTCCTGACTTCTGAGTTGTTTCATATCTAAGGAGATCCCTATGGCAGTGGGAGAAAACATTTCCCCCACTATGCTGGATGGCTTTAGTTGTCAACTTTATACACCTGGGTAAAGGGACCCTCAACTGGGGAACTGCCTCCATTGAACTGGCCTGTGGCCATGCCTGTGGGGCATTTTCTTGATTGTTGAGTGATGTGGGAGGCCCAACTCACAGTTGGTGGTGCCACCCCTTGGCAGGTGGTCCTATATTGTATAAGAAAGGAAGTTGAGCATGGACCAGGGGACCAAGCCAGTAAGCAGCTTTCCACCATGGCCTGTGTTTCAACTCTGCAGAGCTCCAGGTTCCTACCCTGAGTTCCTACCTTAGGCTCCCTCAATGATGGGAGATGTAAGATAAGATAAACTTTTCTTCCCCAAATTGGTATTGGTCAGAGTGTTTGTCACAGCAATCAAAAAGCAAATAGAACATCCATTTGTGTATTGATAGAGTGTCTCACCTGTATGAGATCTTTGATGCAATGTGAGAGCAGACAGTTGGCAGAAGGTTTTTCCATACTGTTTCCACACTACATTCATAATTTTTCTCTCCTGTATGAGTTGTAGGATGCATCTTCTTATTAGACTTGTGCCAGAAAGATTTTCCATATTGTTTACATTCATAGGGCTCTTATGGGTATGAGTTCTTTGATGTTTCCTGAAACATTTGCAAGAAAGGTTTTCCATACTGTTTATACCCGTGTGAGTTCTTTGATCCACAGGGAGTTGAGATTTATTGGAGAAGGCTTTTCCACATTGTTTACATTCATAGAGGTTCTCTTGTATGAGTTCTTTGATGTACCCTGAGAGCACACTTGTGGTTGAAGGATTTCCCACATTGTTTACATTCATGTGGCTTCTCACCTGTGTGAGTTCTTTGATGCACCCGGAGATTAGACATTTGACAGAATGCTTTTCCACACCAGTTACATTCATAGGACTTACCACCTCTTTGAGTTGTTTGATGCACAGTGAGGTCAGGCTTCCTACAGAAGACTCACGCATTCTATACGTTTATTGGGTAGGTGTGTCCTCCAAGAGAACTAGAACTGAACTCCAAGAGACTTAGAGGGGGAGACAGTCACTTCTCCCACGAAATCCATCAGCTTAAATTGCATGAGGGGGAGGGTCTAAGGACAGATGCTGAGGAATCCAGGAAGAATCGAAAAGTCACCATCTTGGTGGGGAACACGGTTGCTGGCTCACCACTGGCGTGCGGTGGATCTCAAAAGCCTAGCCGAGATGTAGGGGAAAAAGAGTCCATGGGTGTATGCCTTTGTAAGTAACTTTCCTTCAAACTTTATAAACTTTATACAAAAACCCAAATGGAATGCATATTGTCAGTTGTCTTTAGGACTGCATGGCCCTAGGATCCCAGAGAGCACATGAGAGTCTTCCAGGGGAGAATTTGGTGCTACAGCATTGATAGTGTTTCTTTCTAACCTGTGGGTTATCTGACCTTGGATTTGCCGTGGAAGATTTTGCAGTGTTTTTATTCAGAAGGCCTCTAAACTTCATGAGTTATGTGATGTTCAGTGATGTTTTCATTGCAGGAATGAGCTTTTTCACATTCTGAACATTCAGAAGGCTTCTCATATGAATATGTTCTCTTGTTAACCAAGATTTGACTTGCTGTAGAAAGGTTTCCCACTAAAATGGGGGAAATGTTTCCTAAACATTCATGGGACTACCCTGCATGAACAGACTGATGTTGAATTGTGAGTTCTAGAAAACACCCCCACATTCTCTATACTCATACAGCTTCTCACCAGCACCAGTACGCTCACATAGTGTGAGTTGTGAATTGAAGGAGGAAGTATTCCTGCATTCTTCTTGCTCACAGGTTATCTCCACTCTGTGAAGCCTTTGACATGGAATGAAAGCTGATTTATAGTTGAAGCTTTCTTACATGTGTGAGACATCTGATTCCTTCTGTGGTCTGAATTCAGGTATAGTGTCTTCACCCATCCTTTACATTCACAGGATTTTTTTCTATTGGATT